CTGTCGGGTCCCCGTTCCAAGTGTTCCTAGTTGTGCGAAGGGCGAGGGAGATCTTGCATTGACAAATACCCTCCCCCCCCCAAAAAAAACCGAACCCAAATTTAAGGTAAAAAAAAAAAAAAAAGAAAGCCAACTGGTCCAGAATGGCTTTCAGAAGCCTGGCCACAAATCTGAGAGTGAGGCCCATGGTCAGGAAGCAGGGGCTGGGAGAATGGGGACGTCCCCGAGGGGAGTGGGGACCTTTGGCTTTCAGACTCTCTTGGCTGCGCCTTTGGGCTGATGTGGGATGGTGGAGGGTCCTGGGAGGCAGGACCTGTCAATGGCCTCCCACATCAGCAGGGAACATGCATTCCCTACATGCTCCCTGGGTCAGAGAGCGGCCTCCCGCTGGGGTATATTGCTGCTTAAGGGCTCCTTCACTCACCAGAGGCTGCGTGGCCCAGGTGCAAGGGACCCGTGGCCTGCTTCTGGGGGAGGCTGCAGGCCGGGAAAGGGTCACTTGCTGCTATGCGTCTTAACTTTGGTGGCATTGATGTCAGCCTTAGTTTTCTGGATCCTGGAGAAGATCTCTTTGAAGAGTGCCTTGTACTCGGGCTGGCTCTGCTCCAGCCGCTTATCCACGGCCTCCACGTGCTGGCTCAGGCTCTTCTCACCCGTCTTGGCCTCCCCCTGGCCCTCCTCGCCCCCCCGCAGGTCCCTCCACGAGCTGTCCCGGGAGATGGGCCGCGAGGTCTGCACGCCCGCATGCCGCACCCCAGCCCCGTGCTGCCGGCACTTGCTCAGCAGCTCCTCGTACTTCTCGAGCAGCGCGTGGTACTGCTCGTCCACCTCGCGCAGGATGGACATGCCCCGCTTGCGCACGCTGTTGGCGTGCAGCGTGAGGTTGCCCGCGTGCCGGCTGGCCGGGTCTTTGGCCACGATGGCGTTGAGTGCCGTGTCGCTGCAGCTTTTGCGCACGGCGTGGCCTGGGGAGGCGGCCGGGGAGGAGACACCGTCCTGGGTGCCTGAGTCGTCCCCGCTGCCGGGCTGGGGGTCATCAGCTTCAGGGGCCTGGGTGAGGGGCGCCAGCAGGGCCTCCGCCAGGTGGTCTTCTCGGCCCAGCAAGTAAGTCTTTGCCTGCTTCATCTGCTGCAGCTCCAGCAGCTCGGCCTCCAGCTCCTGCACACGAAGGCGGCAGCCCTCCATCTCACAAAGCTGCCGCTCCAGCTCTGCATACTCCTGGAGCACCACTGCGTACTCGCGCTCCACCCGCTCCTTGCGCTGCCGCTCCTGGCTCACCTGGGAACGCAGCACCCCCACCAAGGTCTGCAGCCTCTCATTCTCCTGTTCCAGGGGCCGTGGGCCCAGCTCCAGGGAAGAACTGTGCAGGCGGAAGGCATCCTCGCACCTGGGAGGGAGCAGGGACAGGTGGGCAGAGGAAGCTGGGCGTGGCCAAGGCCCCTGGTGCCCAGCCCCATCTCTCCTCTCCTCTTGGGCTGGATACTCTTTGCCCCTCTGGAGCCACTCTCTGCCCTTCTCCCCCTGCTCTTTGCACTGGGAGGTCTTGGGCTCAGCCAATGGGAGGTGCCGGCAGGTCGCGGGAGGAGGCAGAGGGAGGTCATGGAGAATGTCTCCTCCAAACTCCTTCCCTGGTTACTGCTGGCCAGGCAGCACTCTTTATGCCTTCAAGGTTCCAGTAACCTCCCTTCTCCTGGTCCCTTTTAGGCCTCCATCAGGATGGTAACAGCTCCTCGCTATTGCGAACCTGAGTGCTGCAGTGTTCCTGTGGTTTCCTTAATTACCCCTCTATTACTCTGGACAAGGCACTGTCTGTCTCCCATCAGGACATTTATTGAAATATCCACCAAATACACTGTACGTATTCTTACATTAGGGGTTGTCCCATTGAAAAGACTTACTGAGAATTAAAAGATATAGTGGTTTAACCCCTCCTGGGTAAGCGCTCTGGCTTACTAAACAGGTGACCTTGGATAAGACACATAACCTCGGAGTTTTAATTTCCTCATTTGTGTAATGGGGATGATAAACCACACCTCAGGGTACTGCCTTGAGAATTAAATCACTTAGCAGAGTGGTGGGCACATGGCCAGTGCTCATAAACACCAGCCGCTGATGGTCACTGGCAACAGGACCAGCCTCTCTGATAATCTGGACGAGGCAGCAACTCTGGTTGCCACCTGCTGGCCACCCCCACCCACCCTTCCCTCCCATGGCTGGCAGTCCCTGGGCACTCGGAGACACAGTCCAGGGTCTGGGCAGCTGCTCGCCCACAAGAGGTGCCCTCACCTACCGGGGACTGGTGCACAGCTCCTTGAGACAGGGGAAGGTGTGGATGGTGCGTCTGCGTTCCCGCTTCTCCCGGCGCACTCGCAGCTGCTCCAGGCCCCGCAGCTGCTCCACCTGGGCCTGCAGCTCCTCGACCTGGGTCTGCAGGCGCTCAATGGTCTCTGTCAGCCTGGGGATGGGGTGGGGGACACATGTATGGGAGGAACATTAATGGGACGGGGCCAGCCCTAGAGGGACTTGGGGGTTGGGGACAGGCAGGCAAATTTGAGCCATGCTGCCTGGTGCTGAAGTCAGACGGGGAACCCCTTGTAAGCCCAAGAACACACTCTTCTCTCCCACCTCCAAGGACGAGCTGACCATTTCTCCTCTGTGCCTCCTTAGTTCCTTGTACGCCCTTCTATCACTTGTCCCCCTGCACTGCAGTAAAATATTTACACGCTTGCCTGCCTCCCAGGCTGTGCGCTCCCAGAGGGCTTGGCATCCCCATCACTGTATTTCCCAGAGCTTAAAACGGAGCTTGGTGTGTAGTTGGTGCTTAAAGGAGGGTTGTGGCCTGAATGTTAAACCATCCAAAATCGACAAGGGCAAACGCACTACCATCCCAGGTTTCCCAGATCTGGGCTTCTGGGAGAAGGAGCATGAGTCACACCCACTGGTCCATACAAACACATGCACACCCAGCCCTGGGCCTCTCCCTGGCCATCCCACCCCCAGTCTCCGCAGCCTTCTGCCTGGCTCTTACCCATGGATCTTCTGCTGGGCAGCCTTACTCTCCAGCACCAGCTTCTGGTTGGTCAGCTCCAGGTCCCGGGCTGCCAGGTCCAGCTGCTCATACACTTTGGCATGCTGCTCATTCACGTGCCGCAGCGTGTCTAGCTGTTTGGTTAGGTACTAGGGGTGGGGGGTGGGGGTGGATGAGTAACCTTTCAGAACAGAGTTAGGAAAAGTCTCTCCACCTGGGCCCCTTCCCTATTCTAGGAACAGGTTTGCTTTGGGATATTTGTCTGCAGTGGAGTGAGGGATCAAGACGGTGGGGCCATAGGGTTGCCTGGGACAGTTGTGCAGGTCGTGAACTGCACAAAGCTGTTAGGTCAAGGCCATGTCTGCTAAGAGAGTACCTTTTCCTAAGCTGTACAAAGGTGCACACAGGCCAAGGGGTCCCTAATGGGTGGGGGAGCATGTGCAGGGCCTGTGTGGCCCCTCACCTCGATCTCCTGCACTTGCTCCTCATTGGTGGAGTACATCTGCTGCAGAGACTCCTCCAGCTCCTTGTTCCTCTCCAGCAGCGTCTTCCCCAGTTCTGCGGCCAAGTGCAAGTCTGGGGGGTGAGGAATATGAGCAGCTGAGAATGAAGTCAGAGGACCCCTCATTCATGTTCTAAGCATTCATTCTGGGCTGAGCCACAGGAACCCCAAGAGAACCAGGACACAGTAGCTGCCCTTGGGGAGACTCCAAGCCTGGCAGGGGATGTAAGCCGGGAGCTAAGCCTTTGCACTGGCTGTTGCTTCTGCCTGGAAGGTCCTCTCCCCAGACACTCCCAGGACTCATCCCTCTCTACCTTCAAGTCTGTGCCATCTTCTCCAAGAGGCCTTAAACAAATATTGACTCAAAACCCCACCCTCCGCCACCCCACACTCCCCGTCGGCTTCATTTTTCTTAGCTCGTATCAGTGCCTAACTTACCAAACAATCTGCTCATTTATCTTGTTCATCTCCCTTGACTAACAGTAAGCTTACAGATATGGAATTTTGCCTTTCTCGGTCACTGATAGCCCCAGGACCTAGAACAATACCTGGCACACAGCAGGTGAATAATAAATCTTTTTTGAAAGAATGAGTGAGTGGAATGTGATAAGAGCATCAACAGACATGGGGCAAAGTGCCCTGGGACGGTAGGGAGGGGAGAGTTCACTCTGGGGACAGTAGGAGGTTCAGGCCCCCGGAGGGCTTTGGAAGGCTCTGGGCTTGGAAGGGTGACTCGAGCTCACTGAGGTGGGGAGGGGGCAGGAGGGCTTGCAGGGTATTAGAACTGGACAAGGCTTCAGAGCTCTTTGGTGGCCCAACCGCCTTATTCTATGGATGACAGGCTGGAAAGGGAGGAGCGACTTACCCAAGGTCACTACCTGGGTTATGGCCATGTTGGGAGCAGAATTCAGATCTCCTCACCCCGGCTGGGTATCATTTGGTCCTAGTGACACATGCTCCTCTCCAGAACGTTCTCTTTTCCCCAGGCAGCAAAACCAACCTCTTCCCCCAGTAGCTCTGATTCTTTTACCCGGTAGGACCAGGACTTCCTCTCCGCAACCCCAGCCAAAGATAAATGAAACCTATCAGAGAGGTGGGGAGGGAATCTGGCCTGTCTTTAGGGGGCTGTGTGGTGGGGACAGGGAGGAGTCAGAAGGATGTAACAGGTGCTGGAATCTCTCAAAATTCTCTCAAATGGGCCTGGAATTGTGCGAGGGTACCTGGACATTTAGGGTGGCTGTTTCCCCATATATATGCCTAACTCCTTTTAGAAACAAAGAGTAGTATGTTTATAAATATATTACTTACTTATATTTAAATAAATATACTTAAATATATAAAAATATAATTATAACAGAAGCCTGGAAGCATATTGTGTTCAAAGAAATATGTTATGTGTGCTCGGCAGAAATTCGGCAAAATCATCCCCAGTTCGTGACACAGGTGGCCCACCACCTTCCTATTTCATGTTCTGGGATGGCGAGCATTTGGTTCATCCACAAACACTATGGAATAATTCAGGTATAAATGAAAAAGAACAGGGGGTCACACTCATCAGCTTTTTTTCTTCCTTGGGAACTCTCAGGTGGTCTGTGACGAGGCCATTGCTACTGATGCCATCTCTTGTGTTAGCCTCGGGGGACAGGTTCCGTGGGCAGCCTGTGTAGAGCCCCTGCAATTTAACCTAGAGTCCAAGGTCAGAGGTGGAGTGAGGAAAGGCCAAGAACAACTACACTTCACGCTCTTCCTTCTAGGTGAGTATCTGAGCTGTATGTGTATTCCTACTGCCAGTGGGGCAGGCTAGGGCAGCTGCAAGTCACACTACAAACCAGGGGAATTGAAGGCAGCGAATGTGACCTGAGCCACCTAGTGATTCAGACCTGGGAGGAGGGGAATACAAAAGAAGCAGTTTCGGGTGGGGGAGAATCTCAGAGGCTTTCTCGGGAAACTGGATCACAATGCAAGCTAAGCTGGTCCAAGCTGCCAGGAGGGATCACGGGAGAAGTCTGGGAGCTGCAGAGCAGGGGACCGAGTGGAGCCAAGTGCTGGGGAAAGAACACCAGCTAGATGAGGACTGGGGACTGCTCTGGGCTCTGGGGAGGGTGTAGCTCTCCCCGGACCAGAGCGGGAGGGAGGCCTGGAAGTGGGAGAAAGAGGGAGCTGGCTAAGCCGGAAGTAGAATCCTGAGTAATAAACAGCCTCTCACAGCCACATTCATGGTCACACTGGACGAGGCTAGGAAAATACTGAATCTGAACGGGCATCTCCCCTGCCTGGACCCCAGAGTTTCTGGGGTCTCCTCAGTGGGCTTTAGCAGCTTTGCCCTCTGAATGCCTGTTGGTGTTGCCCAGGAGCAAGGCCCCAGAGGGAATGGCTAGGGGCCAAGGGGATGGCTTTAAAAAGAAACCCTGAAATCCCACTGCCCCTCCTGGTTGGGGTCAGGGCGGGGCCTCATAAACTTTGAAGCAGAGAGGTAGGAAAAGGCGAGGGGACAGGCTCAGGGAAGAAGAGACAAAAATAAAGGGGAGTAAGGGTGGGAGGAGGCCATCTATCACCTAGCAGGGCTCCTGTTCACCACCTCCAGGGTACAAATGTCAGGAACTCTGGGTCCACAGAATTGAAGCCCCGTCACCTCCCTCCCCTTGCCATGTCAGAGCTCTCCCCTGAGGCTGAGACTCAAGGTCAGGAGCCCAGGACTTCAAATCTGTGACTCAGCAGCCATCTCTCAGCCTGGAAAGAGGTACCCACAGGGCCAGCCACACCTGGTCCAAGGTGGGGGAGGGAGGCAGGCAGAGAGAGTGCCAGTGCTTAATAATTAATGGCTTTTTCTATTTTTACAGGTGCTTGTGGCAGTGGGCAGAGGGAACACAGTGAGAACTGAGGACCTTGTTTGTCCCAACTGCCTCCCTCTGCTGGGACAGAACAGCATCAAAGTCAAACAGGAGCTCGACAGCCAAGCTCCTGAAAGTAAAGTTGGGGCCTGCCATTGGGGGAGATTGGGCTAGCTGAGAAAACCACTTCCTGGGACACTTGAAGGCAACTAGGGAGCAGCTGGGCAGGAGAGAATTTGGGGACTGAGTGCTAGAAAGGGGAAGCAACAGGCACCTGATCCCCACTGTGGCTGGCCTTTGGCCCACGCTCATCCCACCCTCCATGCTGGGCCCTACAGGGGTGACCTTGCAGTAGCTGACCCCCCACCCCAGCACTATAGATAGCTCCTACTTTCCAGTCATGCGTGGTCTTTTCACATAGCCCTTTGCCTTGGTAACAGCATCCCCTCACCTTAGACTTCCTGCCTTCCTTTCTCTGCCTGGGGACCCCTATTCACCCTCCAGCTCAGAGAGGTGCATAAACCTTTATGCCTCTCACAGCAGAAGGCCCTCATGTCTGTTCTCACTGTCTGCTGGGCTGACTGCGGCAGAACCCAGGTTGCTCTGTCACAGTTGCTAGTTTGATCCCATTTCTGCTTCCTCGGCTGGATGTGAAAACTCCTGAGGGCAGAGAGCACATCCCTGGGCTCAGCGCAGCACCTGGCCTATGGCAAGCAGACGTTTGGTTTCTGGTCCCAGGCTCCAGTTTCTTCACAGACTCATTTCTGGTTTCCCTCCTTGTCCCTGGGCTCTGGCTACTCCTTAGGCTATGAGGCTAGGTCAACAGCTGCAGCCCAGCAAGGCCAGAAAAGCAGGGGCCTGCGGGGCCCATCCTCGATCCTCGCCCCCGGGCATGGCTAGCCAGCTCGCTGGAATTTCAACATCTCTCCCTCACTGGATACAGCACATCTCCCACCCCTGCTCCTTAGCTCCTTTCTCCCACATCTGGGCTGGGCACAGTGCCAGAGACTTCTTTAGGGGTGTGGGGATGAAATGAGACAGCAACAATATGAGCATCTGCTTGCCAGGAGGCCATCTTCCCAGGCACTCAGTTTTCAATCTTTCCTCCTAGGCTCGCCTCTTCCAAGAAGCCCTCTCACTGCATCCTATCATCCAGACACAGTGACAAGCCCAATTCTACCCACCCAGGTACACCTAGGAGGCCAGGGCTGGCACTACTCCCAGCTCCCAGGACAGTGTCTGACACTTAAGTGGAGCCTGGTAGGAGTTTATGGAATGCAAGGTTTTGGGGGTAGTGCCCAGGATGGGGGAGGGGTTGCTGCAGCCAGTGCTGGGCATCTCATTGCAGGCAGGGAGGCTGAGGGTAGTCTACAGGACAGAGTATGGCAGGGTTCAACTTAGCACCTCCAGTCCCAGACTGGTCTCCCAGAGACTCTGATTAACCTACAGTCCTGAGCTCAAGGACAGAGTCATCTACCAGCAAATCTGGCCACGGGGGGATGTGGCTCAGGACCAGAAAACAAAGGCTCCAGGATCTGGGTAGATGTCTCACATGAGGGCAAAGGCAGGGCATCTGGGCCCCATGGATGGAGACCCAGAGCAGAGGGTGTCAGCATACACTGAATCAGACTGTGTCCACACCCACCTGGCTTGCTAGGTGACTATGATCACTTCTAAAACACATTTCCTAGCCCCTCCAACTCTGATCATCGAAGAATGAGGCACTTTGGGGAGGAGAGGGTGGACTCCACTCCAGCAAGCCTTGGCCCTGACCCTCTTAGGCCTCCTCCTTCTTCCAGTCCTAACAGCCCCGCCCCACTACTCGGAGTGATGTCACCTCAGCCACCTCATCGTCAGCTTCTAACATCCTTCCAGTCACTCTCTCTGCCTTCAGATGGGAGAGAGGGAGAGGTGACTTCCTCCTTACTGCGGATCTGGGGCATTGCTCAACATTCCCAAGTTCTGACCCGCTCAAAACCTTGAGCCATTTGGGAGAAGGCCGGAGGGGAAGCGCCAAGGAACTCCTCCCTCTGGAAGGCAGACTGGACTCCTAGCAGTCTCTGCTTCTCCGTCAGCAAGGCGCCTGCACTCCCACCACCTCCCTGGGTAGAGGGAAAGGGAGATGGGGAAACTTTCTAAGTCTTAAGAGCTCAAGCATCCTGGCAAAGAAGGGTGCCGCTGACTTTGGACTGGGATAACTTTCCCTCTACACACACACACACCCTCTCAGCAAAACATAAGGAAGGAGCCAGCTCCCGGCCTCCGAAGCCTTCCAGCCAGTACTCTCAGGCCCCACAACGATAGCCAGGGCGCTAAGCAGTCCCTGCCTCTATGATGGGGTGGACGAGGTGGGTAAAGTATGCCTCTGTCGTTCGGGCAAAGAGAAAGACCGCTCCTCCCACTTTTGCAGGTCTCCACCGGTCAGCTTCGGATCTTCCC